AGGATTCGATGACATTTTTGACAAATCGCAAATTTCTGAAGAGGACCAGGTTAACGAGGTGTACGCTGAGTCTTTCGAATCATTACCTATTTCATTGGCGGACGTCGCAAATGCTACATTAGAAGACAAAAACTTGGAGTTGGTGAAGAAATACATAAAAAGAGGGTGGCCAAATAAACTAAGTGTTAATGAAATTCTTCCTTATTATCAAAAACGCGCTGAACTTTCAGTAATTAACGGTTTAATTTTTTGGAACTTGTGTATTATTATCCCACCTCAAATACGTGAGCGGGTAGTGGAAATTTTGCATTTTTACCATCCTGAAATTCAAAGAATGAAACGACAACGACAGGCGCGACAGGACTGTTATTGGCCTAAGGTGGATAAGGACATCGAGAATTGTGTGCGAAACTGTGATTCTTGCAATAGCACTCAAAAGGTGCCTCGAAAGACTTTATTGTATTTGTGGCTAAAAACTGAAAAACCATGGGCGCGTCTACACGCCGATTTTGTTAGACCTATTAAAGGTAAATACTATTTGATCCTGATAGATTCAATGTTGAAATGGTCAGAAGTATTTTGCTTAAATTCTATAAATGCTAAATCGACCATAGAATCGTTAAATGACGTTTTTGCCCGATTCGGGATTCCACAGTCTTTACTGACAGATAATGGACCGCCATTTCAGTCATCTGAATTCAGTACATTCTGTATTCAAAAAAGTATTAAGCACATGTTCTCACCTCTCTACCATCTTTAAAACAATGGGTTAGCAGAACGCGTCGACACGTTCAAGAGAATGCTTCTGGAAAGAAGTTCAAGTCCAGAAAAAGAACACATTGCTAACTTTTTGTTTCATTATCGTAATACAATACATCCTACGAACAACGACTCCCCAGCCATGTTACTTCAAGGCCGTAGGCTTCGCTCAACAATGGATTTGTTACTTCCCCAATTCCACTAAGATCGCAGCCAGGAAATGGCAGATTCAAAAAACGGCAAAATGAAGTCTCAGTTCAACCGACATTATGGAGCCGTCAATAGGCGATTTTGCGTTGGTGACTCAGTATCCGTTCAAACCTATAACGGCCAGCAAAAGTGGGAGCAAGCTACTATTGTTAGTAGAAAGGGAAAGGTATTGTATACTGTTTCTATTTCAAAACTGCAGTTGCAGGTAGTGCCACACGCTAATCAGTTAAGCCGACGCACTGATACAAACAATGAACAGTTCGTTGATATACGGGAACAGACTGTAGTAAATAAGTCAGGTAAGTTATCGTCGAATAAACATCGTCGTTTTAGAACTACAGCTTATAGATATGAAATTCCTGAGCGGCAACCTAGCTCTGAAGTTCCACTTCGCCGACTGATTAGGAATACGAAGCCATCTATGAGACTCCAAATTGATCCTCAAGCACGATTTTATAGGTCTTTCCAGTCTAGCGATTTCTGATAGCTAATACTCGTGTCAATTACAATTCCGTATTGTAATAAAAATTGCATACAGCTTAGTTAAGTGCCTCGTCGAATCAATGAGATCACTGATCCAAACAATGGGTACCCGCAGTATTGACTGGATCAGGGTCTATGATTTAGAGGTGCACCTACTAATGCTTATTTTTAATTAATACTTATGTCCTCCGCGAGGGGAGGTGTTGTGTTGTGTAGTTATATTACTCTGTCTATAGTACTCCGGGGGT